GCCTGCCAGGGGCGCAAAATATCTAGTGAGAATTGGGGCGCAAAATTTGATGAAGTCATTAAATTAGATTTTAAAAATCAAAACCAAAATATTATAATAATTTAAAAACTATTATTGGATGGAAATACGACGTTACCGAAATGATACTATAAAGTGTGAACTACCTAGTATTAAACAAGTATAATGTATAATAATGTCCATATTAATTATACACGTAGCCCGTAAGTATAATTTATAATTGTGAGGAAAAAGTGATATAAATTATTTCGCTTTAACTCATAGTCGCCGGGTAATAAACAAATTTAAAAATACAATTTGCGGGCGACAATAATACCGGATAATCACTCGCCGGATCGTCGTGTCTAAAAATAGTCTTATCTTTCCATCAAATTTAATAGTCGATACTCGATATAGCTATATATATATATACTGTATATAATATACATTGCGATACGAGTATACGACTATACGAGTCACGTCAGCTTTGATTTGTTCAGTTCGGTTGTACCAATTCGAACATTATTCATTTTGTTTTGACCTGCTGATCTATTACGTTGAGAGGTGACGACTTGGGCCACGCAACGGATTGTGGAGTCGCCACCCTCATGGCTCCCTTGCAAAAAGGAAAATGGGTCGCCAACCACTTAGGCGAGGGTCTTGATCAGAAAAGAACAACACCCAGACCATAAGTGGATTTAATAGAAAAAAAATTTAAAAAAAATAATAAGAAAACCAATAATATGCATTTTGATGAGATAAAGTGAATTAAAAAAAATTATTGATATATAAATATATACTAAAAATATAAAGTGTTGTTGTAGACTATAATACGCTGATACCTTGTAAATATATAACCAATATGTTTGTTTGATGTCACCAGTGGTGGACATACTTTAGTATGTCGAAGACCGTTACCTTAAAACTAGAGAAATATGATTTAAAGGAAAAAAAAATAAGATACACGTGAATATTGAAGATATTCACGCAATAAAAAGATTTTTGTTGATTAAGAAAATTAAGGGGACTTTATTAAATTATTACAATTAAGTTAATAGTGGACAAAACCCGAAGGCAAAAACCACTCTGCAAATAAAGGGACAAAAGAAAAAAAAAAAACAATTATTAAGACAAAAAAAATTAACCTACAACTTTTAAATATTACACGTGAAGCGTCTTCCGCATCGGAACAAGTCCGTGTACTCCGGGCGCGGCGGATAATTTCTGTAATCTGGCCGGCCGGACCGTACTTGGGTACTGCGGGAATAATATATATATATATATGTTAAATATACATGACACACCACTGACCAATAACCTTATAACCAGCAACGCTAAAATTATTTTTAGCTCATAATAAAATTAATTTATGACAGAAAAAGAAAAAAGAAAGGCTCAATACATTATATTAAATAAATAAATGAAAAAAAATCAACAATACGATACCCAGTCCCGGATGGGACTCATCCTAAGATGGGGATCTCGGCCCCGAAATGGCCGACGCCTTGCTGAATTATTACATTATGTTTATAAACGAACACGAGAAAAAAAACTATAATTGGCTGCACGCACACAGCAAAACAGACCACGACGGTGGTTCAAAGGGAAGAGAGACTACGAAAAAATTTCTACACACCGGGCGAGACACAACGACGACGAACCCGTTTGGGAGAGGGTATCGGCTTAACGATTTACAAAATATACAACAGATAAAAATATGAACAATATTAGAGTTATACAGGTATGGACAGTGGTGGCCAGTGTATGTGTCATATAGGGAACGATTGTTAAACTGATAAAGAATATTGTGTGTATAGCGTTCACCTTGACAGCAACAGTACAGTTTTCTGATTACACGGCCGGATATAACGTACGCGCGCCCATTAGCAAAGAAAAACAGTAATCTATCAATATCATAAAATTCACATTTTGTCACGTTACAACGTTGTCACTCGCTTGGCGAGATTAAGAATTACGTGAGTGAAAACAATTAATTTAACATTGTAGTATTCTTGATATGAACAATATGGTATGATCGCAAAAGTCCAGATTTAAAAAGTTCGTACATCATTTGCTTACCCTTATTAATTTCATACTGTCATTAAATTATTATTACTAAGCGATACATATTACGTGCCTACCGAAGCTATGTTATCAAAAAATTACGATAATACCTTTTTTATTCATAGTTCATACCTTGTTGTTCATATCACGGTTATAGTGAGTGGCGTAGCCAGAGGGGGTTTGGGTGTTAAACCCCCCCCCTTGGCTGAATTTATATCAAAAATATTATGTTTATAATATAGGAATACAATCATTTGGTCGTGGTAAAATGCATTCACACACTACCACGGTTTAAAATAAGCTTTATCTTAAATAGTTCACACAGTGTCGTATTATTGTTCTGTGGTATTATTGCACTCGTGCAAATAATATTTACACCACACCAAGGTGGATATATACCTTGCACTACACCATAATATTATCACAGAACAATATTATGATGTTACGTAATTTACGTTATCGACCACACTGGTGATAATAATCCTTGTCATTCAATTATTTTATTAATTACCACCACGGCTATAGATAATCTATAGCCGTGATTACCACGATTGTAGAATGTAGATTTATCATATCATGGATTTATCTACAACAATGTGTTTTACTCATTTTATATAAATTTTATTATATCGTGGTTTTACTAGTTCTCCGATCTAGTTGTTATCAATACAAAATATGAATATTTATTCATTATTCATAATTTTTTGTTTTGTTATTTATATATATTTGTAAAAAAAGGAAAAAAATTATTATTATTATTATTTAAATAAATATTTAAAAGTTGAACGTAATAATATAATTTATTTAAACAATTTATGAGTACATTTCAGGGAGTGTGAAATCTTTCACTAGTTATATTTTATTACAAGAAAACCTCACCCTAAAAAATATCCTGGCTACGCCACTGGTTATATTCTATTGGCCAGTAATTGGCAACCGTTGTGCATAAATTTTGTTAAAACATAATGTATAATAACATTTAACATGTATATGAATAATATGTAATTTTAGATCACCCATTAAATTATCGTAAATTATGGCACCCACAAAAAAACCTTCTGGAGCTTGGTTTGAGAAAAAAAGACAAGAGAGGATGAAAAACAATATCAAATCATCGTTAATATTAAGTAATTGGATAAATAAAAAAGAAGTTGAATTAATTAAGGATAATACTGAACAAAAAAAAAACGATATACCGACGACATTGATTCATAGTTTGAAAATGACAACAATTTAAATGAGAATTTGACAAGTATTGAACTTGAAATTAGGAATAAAATTGAAATTGAAAGTAAAATTGAAAATTCAAGTAATTTAATGGAATATATTACACTAAATAACGATTACCATAAACCTATTATTGGCCAAGACACAGAAAATAATGAATTGTATAATAATTATAATGATCCTGGATGTTGGCCGACCATAACGTCTAGATTTCGAGATTTAATGGTTGAAAGAGGACCTTATCTTATGGATCAGAATTATTATTTTCCAGTTAATCATGATGATGGCAGACATTGTGACGGTAAATGGTTTTATAAGTTTCTGAATAACGGAGAAAAAGTTCGAAGACAGTGGCTATTATACAGTACATCAAAAAATTCAATTTTTTGTTTCGCATGGCTCCTTTTTTCAAATAATGATATCCGAAAATCCTCATTTTCTGATAATGGATTTCAAGATTGGAAGCATTTAAATCCTTCTGTCGCTGAACATGAGAATAGTAAAAACCATAAACAAAATATTTTAGAATGGAAGGAGTTAGAAAAAAGATTACGGGACAGTAAAACAATAGATCATGAACTTCAAAATTCTATTAAAAATGAAAAAGAAAAATGGTTTTGTATTCTTAAAGTTATTGTCGAAGGAATTTTATTCTGTGCTAAAAACAATCTGGCTTTAAGAGGTTCGTCGGATAAGATTGGAGATCCAAATTGTGGTATTTTTTTAAGCCTAATGGAAGTAATAAGTCATTACAATCCTATATTATTAGCTCATGTAAAACATATTACAGAAAGTAATAAACCGACTATCAGTTATTTTTCTCATAAAATTCAAAATGAAATAATCTGTATAATGGGTCAGAAAGTAAGACAAACTATATTTGAACAAATACAAAAATCAAAATACTTCTCAATTCTTTTTGATTGTACTCCTGATAAATCTCATCAGGAACAAATGTCACAAATTATCAGGTATGTCCACATTTCTAATGGAGAAATCATGATCAAAGAATCATTTATTGATTTTCTAAGTACCAACGAAAAATCAGGATTAGGGCTTTCTAATGAAATATTAAATACTATAAAAAATAATGGAATTATTATACTGGACTGTAGAGGACAGAGTTACGACAATGGCGCGAATATGGCAGGGATTAATAATGGTGTACAATCACATATTTTACGTATAAATGAATTAGCTACATTTTTACCTTGTACTGCACATAGCCTAAACCTAGTAGGTGTCCATGCTGCAGAAGTTTCACCCATGATGATAACATTTTTTGGCTTAATTCAGAATATATACTCATTTTTTTCGGGTTCGACAAGTAGATGGGAACTCTTAATGAAAACTATGAAAATCACTTTAAAATCTCATTGTGACACACGTTGGAGTACAAAAAAACAAGCAGTTAGTGCTCTAAAATTAAATTTTAAACCCGTTTTTGATATACTGAACCATATGGTGACTAACACGGTAGATTTTAATAAAAATACAATAACATCTGCTCAACAAATTCTAAAACAAATAAATTTCAAGTTTTTATTCCTCCTTCATTTTTGGGATTCTATTCTAGAACAAATTGATAAAGTAAATTTAATATTACAGAATCAAAATTAAACTATTGATGTGGCAACCAAAAGTTTAGTAGGTTTAATTGAATGCATTCAAAATATAAGAGAAAATGGTTTTGAAAATACCTTGAATGAAGTTAAAAAAATTGCACTTTTATTTAATATAGCCACTGATTTTCCAACTACAAGAAAAATAAAACGCAAAACATACGAGTCAAATAATATAAAAACTAGTATAACGAGGGAAAGTATTGAAACTAATGTAAAACTACAATGCTATCAATCTCTAGATTCTATTATTACGAGTCTAAAATGGAGATTTGAAAAAATGTATAATGTATCTTCAAAATTTGCATTTTTGTCCGGTCAAAATTTATCGAGTATGGAAATAGATGATATTAGAAAATGGTCGGATGATCTAGCGTTGTTATACAGTGTTGATTTGAATGGTAGTGAATTATTCGCTGAAGTTCAAAGTTTCAAATTTCAAGCTTCAAAATTAATAGCATCATTTAAAACTGCAACATCTTTTGAATTTTTAAAATGCATACATCAAAATTCTCTACAAGATGTATACCCAAATTTAGAAGTGGCATTAAGAATTTTTTTAACAATGCCTGTTACTACAGCTACTTGCGAGAGAAGTTTTAGTAAATTAAAGATCATAAAAAATTATCTTCGTTCCACCATGGTTCAAGAACGTCTAACAAATTTAGCAATACTTTCAATCGAACACGAAATTGCATCTAAAATGGACTACACTTTAGTAATTGAAGAATTTGCTTCCAAAAAAGCCAGAAAAGTTAAATTTTAATAATTGTTTTTTTTTTTATGTAAAATGTAAATGTAAGAGACAAAAGATATGCTCTTAGTATTTAAAGGAATAAGATATTATTTGAAAATTAATAAAATATGATTACATTGTATTAATTATTTTATGGTGGGGGGGCGCAAAATTTCCATTTTGCCAGAAGCGCCACTATTGATTGGCCCGGCCCTGCCAGCAGATCAAGTAGCTTTTGGAATAAAACACCAATTTTTTTAAAATTAAACAATCTAAAGATTTGCATCGAAGCGTTTATTTTTGATAGTGATTTTAATCACTATCAGATATTATTATACTTCATCCAACTATGCCACGTCACCACTGTGCTGGGTTTTTTTTAATTGTGTTAAATAAAATCTTTATTTATTAAATAAATAATTTTATCTTGTATTACATTTATATAAATTGAACTTTATAATAGTTTGGCGCGGTCGCATTGCACTTCCGGCTTTAACGCTGGATGGCGATTGCGCCACAGCTACCTCTCCTAGTCCGATAGGTCACGCGACGTTGAATGACGCGAACCAGTCCGGCAATGCACGATATAAATTATCTTTCAACTTTTTTACGAAACACCTTGTGTTACTTTTACAGCTTTTGTCTATGTATTGATAATAACAATATATCGTCTTTGAATAACAATTTGACCACGGTGTTGTTTATTTATTATAAAATAAACCTAAAATCTATCAACTGTCACAGTCGAAATTTTTTTTTAGAACTCTTAAAGCTTATAGCTTTAATTGACTAAAAGTCTAGTAGGTCCCAGAAAAAGAAATTTTTACGACTTAATTATTTATAAGCTTATTAATTTTTGAGGTTAAGCAATAGCTATACGCTTAGTATACGGACATTTTTTTAACGTGATTTGTACTAAAAGAAAAGTAGGTAAATCCACATGATCAGCGAGATATCATTCCACTGTCCTACTTGTAATTTATTTATATACTTACAACTTTAATCAGTCATGTAAGACCATACTTGAATTGTCGATTAAAGAATTATAAGGGGATTTAGCGCTACGGGGACTTGCAACTGGGGGATCGAAAGCTGATGAGGCCAAGCGTTGTCATGATGGAAAATTATTGCCTCGTGTCTGGTAGCATATTCCGGGCGTTTTTCAGTGACTGCTTTCTTCAAGCAAACTAATTGTGTTCGGTAGAGGTGCCCTGTAATCGTTTGGCCCGATTTCAACAGCTCATAATACAGTACGCCCTTCTGATTCTACCAAATATAGAACATTACCTTAGCGCCATGGATATTCGACTTTGTCGTTGATTTGGCTGGTTGTCTAGGTTCCACATATGACTTTTTGCGCTTGGGGTTGTCGTATAATAAAAATAGACCCCCAGGTGGACCCGCAGCACGTAGATGTAGAGTTCCGGTTCGGGGAGGGAATGGAGACCGAGGATGCGGTTTTGGACGCCCCGACCATCGAGGTTCCCGACTTCCCGGAGTTGAAGGACGGGCCAACGGACCAGCTGTCCTAGGCGCTCATAGGTCCTCCCGACCGGCCGGACTGGGGGAGGAGTATGTCGCGGTCGCATCGCGACTCCAGCTTTACCACTGGATGGCGATCGCGCCGCTTTCCCTTTACGTCCGGCAGGTCGAGCCATATGGAGTGGCCGACGGGCGGCTTGAACAGGTCCAGGCCGCCGGCCACTAACAAGAATGATATTATCATTTTTAGACTGGTGTAACTTCCTTACGGGCAAGCCGTCGTGACAATTTTGGCATTGTATTTATATATATATAGTGTATAAAATATACTGTGATAATATTTAACTGACGGAGTAATTATTTATTTATTTAATAAAAAAACCACTGGAATTACAACACCATTTACCTACGTCGGTAGGCGCGGTTTAACACTAGAGTTTTGTCAACAACTAGTGTGACCATCACACCACATAAATATAAATATATATACAAATAAACCAAAAAATTAAAAGGTATCTTTTTGTCTCATTACAACATAAATTATAACACGTGTAATATGCATTCTTTACTAAAATTTATGCTTTTATTAAGAAATACATTATATATATAGTAAAATAAAATTTGAAATTATAAGCAATGAGCAGCGAATTTGAATTAAAGTATTTCGTCTCATTCAACTTTGGTGCAATTATAGCATAACCAAACATGCATCTATCACTTTGATCTTTAGGTATTTTAAAAGTCCCATTTTCACCCCATACACTTCCAAATGAGTTCATTAATAACCAGTATTTTTCTTCGTCTTCTTGGCCCCATCCTATGATTTTGACAGCATGTTCTCCTTCGAAATGACCTGCTATGTGTCTATAAATCCCTTTATATAAAATGTTTTAAATATTGAATAGTGCACAATTATGTTAGACTAGTATCATGTTTTATTTATGACATAAATTTTGTCAATTTTATATATTTTTTTTTTCAATATAATCAGATAATTTTTCTCAAATTTAAAAATAATTTAGTTAAAAAAATCTAACTATACAAGAATAGAAAAATATAGAAATTGACATTATAATATTTTTTGTGTATTACAAGTATTATGATGAAAACTAAATTATTTATAATTTATTTAACATTTCGTCATAATGCAATTTAATATTATACTAATATTATATTAATTAAAAATAATGAAAGAAGTAATATTTACAAATTTAACTAATTTACTTACCACCAGAATGCCATCTTAAATCGTCATAAAAGTGTAAAGAAGCTTGAACAGGACCATTAGCATAAATCTCTCTCATTATAGCAAAATGATTCTTACGCGGTAATAATTCATAATCCATAACTATATAGTTTCATTAATGAAATTACGGAGGAAATATATAATTTACATATGATCTTTATAAAATATATGATATAATAAAATCACAAAATTTGACAAAAGGATAAAATTTTGTGATTTTATTTTAAAAAATATAAAAAGGATATTTAAGTTACTTAATTAATCAAAAGTCATTTCATTAAAAATTTTTTTTTATAAATTATATTGGGTCAATAATTCGTGTAAAAATTAAAAAATATCGGGTAAAAATTCGTGCGGTTTTTTAAGAGATGCCGTAACTTGATTATAATTTCATCGTTTCAATATTCCGAACATGCGTTGAAAGCTACTGTCATAGTGCGTCTTTATCAATATATGTGTTATTCATTTGAAGTGTAAACAACAAAAATTTTTTTTCACTCAATTACGTCAAAATTTATGCCTGAAAAAGTGTTTTTGCAGAGAGTTCTTCTTCATTACTTTAATATGGAGAAAAATGCTGCTGAAATTCATCATATTTTGGTAGAAGTTTATGGTGAATATGCTCTAGCTGAACGAACGTGTCAAAAATGGATTTCATGATTTAAAAGTGGTGATTTTGCTTGGAAGATGAAAAAATGGAAGCATTACTCGATGATTGTTACCAAACACAAGAAGAGCTTGCAGAAGCTTTGGGAGTCACTTAAGCAGCCATTTTAAAACGTTTAAAAACAACTGGATACATTTAAAAGCAAAGAAATTGGGTGCTCTATGAATTGAAACCAAGAGACGTCGAAAGACGATGTTGCATGTCAGAAATGTTACTTGAACGTTACAAAAGAAAGTCGTTTTTTCATCGAATTGTGACTGGTGATCAAAAATGGATCTATTATGACAACCCCAAGCGCAAAAAGTCATATGTGAAACCTAGACAACCAGCCAAATCAACGGCAAAGTCGAATATCCATGGCGCTTAGGTAATGTTCTATATTTGGTGGAATCAGAAGAGCGTGCTGTATTATGAGCTGTTGAAATCGGGCCAAACGATTACAGGGAACCTCTACCGAACACAATTAGTTTGCTTGAAGAAAGCAGTCACTGAAAAACGCCCGGAATATGCTACCAGACACGAGGCAATAATTTTCCATCATGACAACGCTTGGCCTCATGTTGTAAGACGAGTTCAATACTACTTAAAAAACAGCGGCTGCGATGATTTGCCTCACCCACCTTATAGCCCAGACATTGCCCCATCTGACTACCATTTGTTATTGCCCTTTCTGGAAAACCCTTCACCAAAGTTGATATCGAAATTGGCTTGATAAAGTCTTTTAAAGTGATAACTCCCTCCTACGGCGTTTCACAACGGTTCTATCCTTTCACCCTTCTCTTTTCTATACTTGTAAATTGTACTAATTCTGTTTTACATCATGCTAAAATATTTTTTTTCTCGGACGACTTGAAGGGTTACAAATATCATAAAAAAACAACCGAATTAATTGGCCACAAAGGTTAAAATTTGTAACTTTCATGGCGCATTGAAAAATACAAAATGAGAGTCACCAACCCAATGTACTGTCTCCAATGTAGTTGGTGAGCAGTGCAAATGGTGTTCAAGGAAAGGAGGTACTATCTAGCACATGCACAAACAAATCACAAAACCTTATCGTGATTATTTAAGTTATAAACGCTGTTTCAGCACGAATTCGGCTCAATCAAGATAATTCAGAACACACACACACACATATATATTTATACAAATAGACAAAAAAATATACAGGTACTTTTTGTCACGTTACAAACTACTAGATCGCTTAGTTAGTTGGACTGAAGCAATTGGCTTTACGTTTCATACTTTTAAGTGCTATAAAATTACTTTTTCACGTATTTCTTATCCTATTTCTTCATCCGCCCTATTGCATTTATTTCTTCTATGGTTGACCTTGGTTTGAATCTCACAAGAATCGCCGAACTTGAAGGTCTCAATGCGAACAACGGGAAATTTGGTGAACCGTCTACTAGCAAAGAGACAGCAACGTCAACAAATGTAGACCAGGTCGCAAGATCAACTGGGAGCAATAGCTGACAAAATCGAGGGTCTAAAACTTAGACCTGAAAAACTGAGCGTCAGTTGGAGACGCAAGCTGTAGAAGAGCCGAGCAATCATGGAGGTACAGAAGAACCTACCAAAGGAGGGAGACAAGGGAACCGATGACATGATAAAGTCAAAGGGAACCGAAGCTCAAAAACCTGAGGACAAGGGTGAAGAACGTCCATGTAAGAAAACTCTTTGGGTACCGACCTACAGGGACGTGGTAACCTATGATAAAAAAGTGGCTCTAGTCCTCGCAGGCTACCCCACTAACAAGTTGACCACAGAGCAGGGGCTACTCATTGAGTCTTGTGTTGGAGACTTGATACTGTCGGGTATTGATGGAGCACTTGTGATCAGTGCAACCCAAGAGAGCTCTCTTAAGTGGCTCACTGATCATATAAACATAATAAAACCTTGGGACGGTGCAGAACTCCAATTGGAAGCCTACAACCCGATTAAGTACAAACGGATGGTCACTCATATACCAGGGCAAAACAAAACCCAGGGCTGAACACGGCGATCTGGAAAGTCCACCATGAGACAGAGGTTGGCCCGAAAGGACAAACTTTGTTCCTAAGTGTGGACGAAAAGAGCATGGCCAAACTGGAGGAACTGAAGCGCAGTCTATATTTTGGAATGGGCAGAGTTTGCTTCACAGACTATGTTGCCAAGCAGCCACCAACTCTGAAGGATGTGAAAAAATCTGCTCCTCAAAAATCTGGGAAAAGGATAGCTAAGGAAACACCAGTGCCACTCGGAAAAGGAGGTAAGGCTCCTTCTTTGAAAGGGAAGTGTGTTACGTAAGGGAAAGGAGAATGTGGAGAGCGAACCTAAGGTACGGTCAACACCTGGGAACGGCGGGGAGACACCACCCACAGGGACGACTGTGTGACAGGGACTGTTTCAGACACCTGTATCACACCCAGTACAGCGTACTTTCTCAAGCGTCAACATCAGTTTTTCTGAATGGCTGACAATAGAATTCAATTCACGCAAATAAACCTACATCGCAGTAAAAGGGCTAATAGTCTTTTACTAAGGACCCTTACTGAGAGGCATACAATACCCTTACAAATAGCACTTATTCAGGAACCATGGATAAATGGTGACCAGATTAAGGAGCTAAATCTAAGGAATTTTAAACTGTTTCATAAAAATGCAGATAAAGAACTTGCATTTTGGTTAATAATAAAGTTAAAGCCAGCTTGATACTTAATCTATTAAGTGCTGACTTGACTATTATTAAAGTAATACTAAATGATAGTAAAAATATTATAGTAGCTTCAGGATACCTACCATATGAGGTCACAGCCCCAGGAGAGGACCTAACTATGCTCTTTAATTATTGCCAAAATGAAAAATTAGAGCTAATCCTAGGTATGGATGCTAATGCACACCACACTATTTNCGGAAGAATCAGTCAGTTCAGTTAGTTCAGTTCAGACTGTCTAGTCCGCGATACGCTACACGACCGCTACACCCCGCCGCTGTTGTCATCGTGTATTATGTTTACTTCGATTATTTTATTTTTCCTTACTGTATATACATATATTTTCTTTGAGTGTTTATACGTCTATTTTAGTGTTATAATTTTGTTTAATAAAAGTCTACCGCCATTTAAATAATTGTGTGTTGTAAGATATAACCCACACTAGTATTAGTATACTTAGTATTCTGAATAGAGGTAGTGAACCTAATTTTGTTATCAGGAACAGGCAGGAAGTCATTGATCTGACAGTTTGCTGAAAAGGTTTACTTCAAAAGATAAAAGGGTGGAAAGTGTCCTCCAAACCTTCTCTTTCTGATTCATTTTTACAAAATCATTAATAAAGAAAAAAATGGGGCTAGTATATTTTATAAATTACTCTGTAAACTAATGTAGAACTTAAATAATATAATACTAACTTTGATAATTTAATCCAAATTGAACATTTTCTTTATTTCTTAGACCACTTCTGCACTTAGTTGACCAACAGTCTGGCACTATATCACTTCGCCATCCACAATGACTAAATTGTCTCTTTGGTCCATGGCAAGGGGCAATTAAGTATGGTTGACACGTCTAATCAACAATAAAATATATATATATATATATAAATACATGTTAAAAAGTTATTAATAATTCTGCTTAAAATGTTTACGGATGTATCTATGTTTTCAGTTATGAGCTTACTTTTCGGACTCCTTGCAAAGTATTTGTTTAGAGCGATAGTTAAGGCTGGTGGTTATAACTATACTTTTGTCTTAGCTTGTTTGCGGTATGTTTTTATATAAGTTGATAACTTATAACGACGATAATGTTTGTTTGGAATTGTTTTGGTTTTTGTTGTTGTTTACGGTATTCTTGAGATTTAGCTTTTTCTTTTTTACAACGGCAATTTTCTGTTACGTTGATTGTAAATTTTTCAAAAATTAAGTTATTTTCTTTGTAGTTTGTTGATCTTCGTTTTGAAAATGAAAATTGCCAGTGTATAATAGAAAGAGCAAAATGACATGAATGCCATAAAAAAACAACAATATGACAGTTGTGAACAATAACACAACCAAATCGAAAACATCGATTTTATAAATGTTATTTAAAAACATACTGTAAAATTTTTAAGTCAACAGGTTCAATTCATATCAAATCATCCTAAGTAGTTACGCGACTATTTTAAATTTATTGAAATAAGTATTTTTTTTTTTTTAATTACCCTAAGGTACTTTTTAATTAGACGATAATACATCCTTATCAATACAATTAAATGTTCATTAATATTATAAATATACAATTAATGAATATACGATTATACTACTTATTATATATAAATACAATATGAAAGAAATTTACATTTCCAGTGAAGTGGTGAACTTAGTCTAATAATAATAAATAATAAGTATTTATAAATTTAAACCAAGTCATATGGTTTGACGCGTTTTAAACGTCTTTGATCATTATTGGAATTGTCCAATAGTTGAATTGCCGCTATATTTTCATGGTTTTCCAACTTTATCGTATGCTTATGTGCAAACTGAGTGGTTTGCAGAACCGTAGCAGATGAAGTCATCTGCTATGGTTCGCAACATCATATCACGATGAATTACATAATTTCTATCGAATCTGATTTTATGAATTGTAATATTTTGACAGCGTTGTACCAGGTATGTAAATATGAAACCGGAATTATTTGACATAAAATACTAGTTTATTGTACAAAACTGATACTATACATCCCATTCGAAGTATTGCCCTTCGCTACTTATACATTTTTCCCATCTTTAGGGCAATTTATGGATTCCACGCCAGAAGAATTCTTGCTCTTTTGACGCAAACCAATTTTCGAGCCATTTTTGCACATCTTCGTAGGAAGAGAAGCGCTGCTCAGCGATTGCGTGTCCCAAAGATGCAAATAAATGGTAGTCTGAAGGAGCCAAGTCTGGCGAATAAGCGGCATGCCATAAAGTCTCCCAACCTAACGCCTCGATTTGACCACTTTAGCCGTGTGTGCCGGAGCATTGTCGTGAAGCAAAATCATCTGCTGTTCCCGTCGTTGAAGTTCGGGCCGTTTGTCTTCCAAAGCTTGAAACAAATTTGACAGTTGTTGTAGGTAACGTTCAGTGTTGACAGTTTCGCCAGGTTTAAGAAGCTCATAATAGATAACACCCTTCTGATCCCATCAAACACAGAGCATTGTTTTCTTTCCAAAGCGATTTGGCCTCGCACTCGACTTTGAAGGTTCTCCTGGAGCTACCCATGATTTTTGTTGCTTAGGATTCTCAAAATATATCCATTTTTCATCGCCAGATACAATGCGATGGAGAAAAGATTTTATTCTGTGCCTGGCGAGCAGCATTTCGCAAGTGGTTTGTCGGTTTTCCCATTGCCTTTCCGTCAGTTGATGTGGAACCCATTTTTCCACCTTTTGGATCTTTCCCATGGCTTTCAAACGAATGGATACGGCTTCCCGGGTCACATTCAATTGATCTGCAAGTTGTTTTTGGGTTTGCGTTGCATCCTCATCCAACAACGCTTGCAACTCGTTGTCTTCAAACTTTTTCGGTGGTCGACCACGTTTTGTATCCCTCACATCGAAATCGCCACTTTTAAATTTCTTCAACCACTCAAAATACTGTGACTCTCCCAGAGCATGCTCACCGTAAGCTTCCACAAGCATTTGATGCGATTCTGACGCAGTTTTCTTTAAATGGAAACAGAAGATCAACGCTGTCCGCAAATCATACTTTCCTGGCACAAACTTCGACATGTTTCACACGAGCCTCACTACACTACTAAATGAAACTTTCGCTGGTACGAGTTGAAACTCGTGCGCATAAGTCACTCAAACAACACGACACAATACAAGTGAAAATGGTTTACGGTATCAATAGGTAGCGTCACCTATCGGCAAATTCCGGTTTCATATTTACACATCTAGTATAACCCCTATGTTGGACTTACGGGCACAACACCACAATTGAATTCCATATGTCCAGAAGGGTTTTACGATCGCTACGTATAATAGATGTTTGTTCTCTAGTGATAACTTAGAATGTTTTCCAACTAACCAATAATATCCGCACATTTTACGTACATAATATTTCCATTTAAGGTGGCAGTCAAGATGCATTCCCAGATATTTGGCCGAATCTCTCTGTGGGATTATTTGTATTTCCTTGACATAGTCCGGATATTATAAAAGTCCGAGCTATGTCAATGTATACTCCGCAACAATAATTTTTTTTCTTCAAACGCGTTACGTATAACGTTTATTACACGATGAATTCGGTCTATAGTTGAATGTTTGTTTCTAAAAACCGAATTGATGTTCTGATATAAGTTTTGTTTCTTCTATTAGTTTGAGAGAAGAAGATTCTCTATGAGTTTAAGGGTAAGTATGATATAGATGAAGAATGTTGTTCATGATTACATGTGCCTTTTTCCATTGTTCTGGAATATAATGTGTGCTTATTATAGCCGGCATTGTTGACGTTCATACGCGAACACATAGCGCGTATTCTCGCGATCGACGATATCGTATTTCTCAATAACAGAAACAAATAAGCGCTTGCGTTTCATTTATTTATTTTTGTTTATTCTCGCAAAATACTTTAAGGAACGTTCACTATGTCAGATGAAACATTGTCTCAAATGAACCGTCGGGAATTATTGCGCGAATGCGCTTATAGACAGCTAAATGGACCCACGACGAAAAGCGATATGCTGACCCTTTTGGAGAATAGCTTACGTAGCGAAGGGCTAGACCAGAGGTTCCCAAACTTTTTTTTCTCCGTAGACCACGTGCCAATTTTTGCCATTTTCGTAGACTCCTAAAATTGATTTTTTATAAATTCATCTAGGTGTTTTTTATGCTTACACGGAACTGCTCACCTGAATAGGCTTTACTATGGAATGCATTTTTTTTAAAATAAAAAACGTGTTTAATAGTACATTTATTTCTTTAATAATGACAATATTCAAATAATATTTTTAGTAATTAAAACGATAGAAAATGCAAATTAAATGTAAAAATATAGAAAAAAATCAAGGTTAGTGTTAAAAAATATATCTTTAATGGGAAGGATGAACCTGATGCTTTGATAGTAAATGTTCAATATTTTGCTTCAAATTAGTCAGGTTTAACCTCAAATCTCCTCCATCAGTGATTTCCAATCTATTTCCTTTTTTTTGTAAGAAGATTGACAACTGTGCTGAAACCCTTTTCCACGCAGTATGATAACGGAAAAGCTATCAAAAACTTTCTTGCGATACTCCATAAAGCAGGATAAGTAACAGGTATGTCTCTCTGAAACCAAAATTGCTGATACCCACTTCTAAATTGTACCTTAAATTCTTCGTTAGTACTTATACCAATGAGTTCTTCTTGTAATACGATATCCGATTATTCAATGTCACTGTATGGATTAATAATCCATTGTGGTATTTTCATTGTCAAAATATCCTCAAATCTAATTTTAAAGTCAGCGTGAAGGACATTTAAATGTTGAACGTAAGCTAAAACGTCATCATCCTGACATTTCATATGTGACAATTTGGGAAACTGAGAAAATTCACGTCGTCCAATGTTTTGCTTCATTAAATTAATTTTAACCAGAAAAGCTGCAATAATTGATTTTGTTTTTATTAAATTTAGATTTTCACTAGATGTACATTCATACAAGATGTAGTATGAGGCTTACCTGATTTTGCTATGAGCAGCAAGCCATCATCGTCTTTTTTTAACGTGGCAGCAAACATACCATCCAGAGTGGGTCTCTTCTGAAATTTTTCTTTCAGTGTTTGAAAGTATGTTAAATCTTTACATGTTTATTCAGGGTGACACCTTTTCAGATGATCTTCTAGTTTAGACGGTTTCATAGCGTCGTTGCTTAAAACTTTATTACATACAAGACAAATAAGTAGGTTTTTGTCCGGCAATGATGGAATGAAGCCGAACTTCAAATAATCAATGCTATATTGCCTACATTTCTTTTTAAATTCAGCCATAATTAATAGCACTTATTATATTTGTACAAATATTAACTGATTTTTGAATTAGTAAAACTTTGAAAAACGGCAAATGACGTACACAAAACAATCGACAGTAATATACGCTACAGGAATATATTAAATATATATATATTTCGACCATCGCCATTGTCCAATATCATTTTTATCGTACTTATTAGTTATTAGTGAGATCTAAAAATAAACGGTTGAATGTGTAATCATCAACTGTAATGAGTAATTTAATCTTATCTTAATATTCCAATATTCACACTCAACTCCGTTAGTCGTTATCGATAATGTTCCTTATAATAATCGTTATCGTTCGCATCGTCGCACAGATATTTTTCGTGAAAATGACGACACGCATTTTTGACTTTTAACTCTCGTGGACCCCTATTTACACATGATGCACCCCCAATTTTCTTTTCCGTTAACATGGACCCCTTGCTGGTCAAAATCGACCACAGAGGGTCGATATAGACCACTTTGGGAATCTTTGGGGTAAACCCATCGAACACTATTCTACCCGAACGCCCGCCGCTTCACTACGAGACACTCGCGATGGAACGTGAGTCACGGGTAAACGACGTCCTCGCGCTATGCCGGACGGTCGACCCCCTACAAACGCGGGCCAAACGTTTAACCTGGCGCTAGAGGATACCGAAACAGGTTCTCTACACGAGTGGTCCCAGGCAACCGGCCGTCTCAACGGGAACGCAGCGTATACGGATGACATGTATACGGTGCGTTCAATATCCCACGCAACGGAGGAGATAGGCGCGTTAAGGCAGAGTTTACGCGATATATCTCTTAACACACGTATGGAAGCGCGCATTTCAGAAGTAGAAAATGCACTGTCACGCATTACGTAGAAGATTCGGTCCCTCTCACATACAATTACAAGTCGTGATTTAAACAACAAAACCATACAAAATCCGTTCGCTACCGCACAGATGACGCGAGGAACAGTCGAAACAAATCGTACTGATTACGCGTACTTGCCGGAACAAAACCGCATAACGTTCGCACGCCACAGTTATTCAGAGCAGCACATCGTAGATCATGTAGTCAGTCTCTTACGCGACGAATATTATGGCAACGTGAAAATGCGAAGTCCGAGTACGCTAGACGATTTGCGCGTAATCGCGAACGATCTCGACAGGCTCTTACTCAAGGGTAGGCTAAAAGCCAACTTAAAGCCGTACGTACCGCCGCAAGTTTTTCGACAGCGGTCGGGCGCGCTTAACGCGGAACGTCCCCCCTGACATTGTGGAGCAGATCATTGGCACAGTATTTGCCCTAATAGGCCGACAGTTTCGGGGAACGGGCTTTAACAACGGAGAAGTTAGTCCGCTCTCCGGGCTCAAAAACACAATTCCGATCACCCACTATTAAACATTGTAACATGTAAAATCGTGTCACATTTGCGCGTGCACTAAGCCCAAAAACAGGCGCCCCGAAAACCCGATGGTCAAGCGCCAACCTAGACAACCGTGGGAAGTAATCAGTATCGACCTGATGGGACCGTATCCTAGAACACCAAGGGGCAAGACGAACCTATTAGTAGTAACTGACTGCTTTAGCAGGTGGACTGAAGCGTACCCCATAGCCGCGCCTACAACGAAAACGATTGTAGATGTGTTAGAAAGGGAGTTTTTTCACGCTACGGTTACGCGCGAGTAATTTTAAGCGACAACGGCCGAGTGCTCGTGTCTAAAGAAATAATCGACGCGATAAATCGATGAGGGGCAGAGGCCTAGACTTCACCGATATACCACCCACGGGCTAATCTAGTAGAACACGAAAACCAAGAGTTAAAAAAAAGGACTTCGTGCTTTATTTACTGAGTCGAGTCATACATCTTGGGACAAAACTACCACCTTTGTTGTTCGCTCTACGCAATAGGTGCAACGAGACTACCGGATACACACCGTCCATACTTGTATTAGGTAGAGAAGGTAAGAAACCGGGTGACTGGCTACTGCAGCGAATACAACCGCCCACGTAGCAATTTCAATATATTAATATTGTCAAAATATTCCTACAAAATACTTTTTAAAATATTTTAAAGCGAATATTGTAACAATATCTCATAAATATAATAAAAAATATATTCTATTGAAATATTTCCATAATATGTTCACAAAATAACTTTTTAAATATTATTTTATGTATATTTTGAGAATATATTAATTAGAATAAATATAGAATATTTAACTCGAAATATTTGTTGAATATATTATCAATATAATTTTTTAAATATTATAAATATATATCTTGTTGGTTAATTGAGAGTAACTTAAGAGACACAAGCCATCCTCTTTTATTCCTTTGGATGTTATTGGTATCTCGTTATATAATACTTATGTATTATATATATATATATATATTAGTAAATCCTTAATAGTAAACAGCCTTTTTCTCTAATTAGTATCAATTAGTATCAGTCCCCACCAAGGAAAATTCATGCCCGCCCCCTCCCGCGCGTACTGCGCTCGGTGGAGGATGCTTCGCGTGCTCCCCTACCCGAGGTACTTCGGAATCCGGTTTGCGGGCGGGTCGCGAGGTGGCGAGGCGTGAAAAACAGAACACGCTTAACTGTCTCCCCCAAGCCTCCCCGTCCACCACAGGAGTTCCAACGCCCCCCCGAAACCTAGTCGGGTAATAAATGTGGCGGTCCAAAATTTCCCCCGCCCAATGGGTGCGACCACAAGCAATACGCGGGTGGTCGCCTCACCTCGGCCAATGCTGTCTTTCCGCGCTACGCGGCCAGACAGTACCCCATCAACATCACTCCGCCCGAAGCATCCTTACGCCAGGGGCGACGCAAGGACCGAACCGACGACGACCCCATCGACCAGCAAAACTCCTCGTAATTACTCTCCGTCAGAGCGAGAACGCCGGACGAGGAAATATTGGGAGTACATGCTCGTCGGTGAGGACCTTTCGCCCCCCCATAACCCTGACCGCAACAATGCGTACATCAACAACAGCAACAACAACGGCAGCAACACCAACAGACGAACATACGCTGTTCAACATCGCTAGGAGGCTGTCGGGCGTTTATGTCGACGACGGCCTGGTACAGGAGATGGACCTGTTTCTCTCCTGTCCCACCTCCCCAGCATAGCAGGAACCCCCCACATCACAAGTGCGATATGGGCGGGGACTAGATCCCCACCCTTCCACTGCTATGAGCAATCTTCGGAACATTACCATCAACCCCAATAAAACACACACCGCAAGTATTGCGGCTTGTTATTGCGTTATGCGCTATTAATATATTTGACCAAACACGATACGCTATATACGTTATTTTAGTCGGTCTTTAGAGATTAGCGGCGGCTTGGTGGGGGGGTATTTTACACGCGTTGTCACACGTTTGACACCCCGAGTCGTGTCAGCTCCTTCTCAGACACCGCTCCACTGTAAACTGGACCGTTACACACACGCGTTATCGTCGTGGTGTAAAGTCCAATAAATGCCTAGCGTCGAATAACCGCCCCAATAATACGTCGAGTTAGTCATCTTCGTGACATCTATCTATGTCAATGTTCTCTTTATTTAAGAAGTCTTCGAGTTCTTGTTTACAGTGTAGCCCATTGACGTTCCAAGCTATGATACTTAATGTATGATTCATTTCTTCTTTTTGTTTTGATTGTTAGACTTAGACTGGTTACTTTTTTACTTATCAAGTCTACTTGTCATATTTGTTAAAGATTTTGTTATATTTGTAAGGGCTGATAAAATTTCCATTAAAACTGAGTTACACTTTCAACCGGCTGTAATGGTTGTTTTTTTAAGAATAACGTTATTTCCATTAGAACTACTAACTATTTTAGCATAGGAAACATCCGATGTTACAGTTTTAGCTGGTTTTTGTTAGAGACATTGCACTGCGGATGTTTTTTTGGATCGATTTTTTCTTGTTTTCTTGTAAGCTGTTTAGCATTTTCAATTTGTGATGTACTTCACAATTGGAGCATTTTGATTTCGATTTCTTCGGATTTGGGCAATCTTCTGTTTTTTGTTCTTCTTCACATTATACACAGATAGATTTTTTATGATAATAATTTTGAGTATGTCTAAAGGCTTGACAGTTTTTACACTGTGACACGCCTATTTTTTTCTTCGTAGGTCTCTTTTAATGTCATATATATTTCAGTGCCAGGCAATCCTCTGATTACATTACGAAACTTTTTTCTTTTAATAACTGTGATAATCAATTTTATTTTTGTCAAGTACTTTTTAAGTACGTGTGAACTAATGTTCATCACTAGTCATAATTGTATCGCTGTTAGCAATATTTTTAACACCTATGAAAGTTATTGGAGGTGGTTTATAAATTTTTGGTGTAAGTTATAATAATTTTTTTTATATTTCTTTTATGTGTTTTTTTGATGAACTCCGTGAAGCATCTGAGCTACAGCCTGGTTTATCACTAATAAAATTTGTATTTTTGTTATTAATGTTAAATAGTCATTTTTGTGACACTGTCATATTATTATGGTTCCGTCTCACTGTCATTCGCCTCACTGTAAGACATCCCCGTCCATATACCCTGACTACTGTGTTTATGTGTACTCTAAGAAGTATTACACTTCAAATTTCCCAAAATGGAATTTGCTCAGACCGCTTATTTAGATAAATTTAATTAAATTAAATAATGTATATCTTATAAGTAGATTCAAATAATTATTGAATTTACTTATAAGATATGTCTTAAATATATAATTCATGCACAATGTGCAATTACATTACTTACCTTAGTTGACTTATATGGTCCTCCTGTCACTAAACCATCATTCATAGCATACTTCCATGCATTTAAAATATGACCACCTTTACAGCCACAACAGTTATCACAGCATGATAATAAATGATAAGCCGACAAATCAGTGGCGGGTTTACCATTTTGTATACATAAACGATCTGTTATTACTGAAGCTACAGTGACAGCCTATTATGAATGAAATATATGAAATAAAAGTCTATATTATAATTTTACAAAATGTAATCTATTTCTTTGTATGACATTACATTATTTCCTAAATATCTGTACGATGCGTAAATTCAGACGCCACTTCTTCTGAGTGTAGACGTTTCTAGCTGCTTTTAAGAAGTCCCTACACGATCAATAATATTGTCAATATTCGTATCAATAATATTGACGGAACCATATTGAAGCGAGTATTGATCGCTTAGAAGGATATTGATATGGATTATCAATCATTGAGAGAGATTGATAGAAATTTTGATTGATGCTCATTGACGGGCAAGATTGACAACATATTGAACGTCTAGGAGCGTGTATTGTCAATATTTCCGAAATTGTTATAATTTATCAGTTAGGCATCATGGGGGAACTATCGATACCACTAGGTGAAGAATCGGTAGGTGAGCGTGAGTTTTTAATCCTTTTGATAAATTCATACCGTGATCATCCTGAACTATGGCAATTGAGATCAATAGATTATTTCGATAAAAAAGCTAAAGCACTCCAAACAATTTTGGACACTTTAAAGCCGTATTAATCTGATTTTACAGTAGAGAATTTGATACTAAAAATAAATATATTGCGCACTAATTTTAACAAATGCTACAAGGAGTTTGAAAATAAGAAACAGTCGGGTGTATCAGTGGACGCTATTCCAGAACCCAACGTATGATATTACAACGAACTGCTGTGTATCAAGGACCAAGTCGAGAGAGCAGAAATTCAAACTTCCGAGGTTAGTAAACATCAAATATTTATTTATTTATGAGTGTTTTGACATGAAATTTGGTGAAAGATATGATTGAAATCGTAATTTTATAATTATACTAACGACTTAGCTATTTCTTTTTCTAATAAGAGTGGTATGACAAACAATCGACGGCGTAGTACATTCTATTTTGATAAGCTGTCGTTGTTTTGCTGCGATAAGTTTTATTTATGACATGATAGTTGGATTATTGAGTGTTCTTTCCATTATTGATTACAATATTGTATTTATAGTTCTGCCATATGCTGAGTTCCTTCTCTCCATGAATCTCTTCTACTCTACCAATATCTTTGTTTTCGTAATCAACATCACCACTTGCAAATAATATCCATTATTTCTTGTTGACAAGTAGTTGTGTAAATGACAGCAAGTCATTTTCCGAGCCTTGTGTGGGGCAAATTTAATATTTTTTTGGAATATTTTGAACCTCGATGTTAAGATTTAAAACGCATTTTCAACAATCCTGCGTGATCGGGATAATCTATAATTAAAAATCCGTTTGTCATCCGTGAATACTGCTCTGTTGTAAGGTTTCATAAAATTTGGCAGTGGTTGAAAAGCTTCATCACCGACAAATACGTAAGTTAACTTTTTATTTGAGACGGATAATTCACGTGCAATAGGAATATTTAATTGGTTTTGAGACAAATTTTGGCAAAATATCATATTCTGCAGAACTCCATCATCAGATATTCGTCCATTCGCTCCAATATCTACCATGATAAACTGATATTTCGCATTAACGATAGCCATGAGAACAATACTGAATGTACTTTGTAGTTGTAGTAATAAGAACCAGAATTGGATGATTTTTCAATCAATATATGTTTGCCATACATACTACCTATATAGTTGTAAAAGTTCCATTGTTCTTCAAAATCCTCAGCTAGCTGCTTCCAACCCACTTCAGTTTTGGTACCTGAGTAAAAAAATTCATTTTTAGTTTTTATTTTATTATAGCATAATTTCAGTGATGACCAACAGACACTGTCTAATGACCAGCCAACCCCTTTACCTTTAAAGAAAAAAACATCTTCAAAGGATTTGACAGACGAGCTAGTTGGTTTAGCTACAGCATATTTTAAAAAACCTGAAACTAAATCGGACTTCGTTGTTAAGGGATGGTCTCTAAAGTTAATCAGACTGAATCCAGATCAAAGGTCTGTTGCGAATAAGATAATTAATGATACTTTGTTTGAAGCAGAAATGGACACATTAACAAGGCATGGAGTGAGTTTCTTAATGTCTTCACAATCTATATTGACACCTTCGTCGTCCCGGACAACTTTAAATCGGTATGCATGACAATAATTAAAATTCATTCACAGCTTCCTAATGGTATAACTTTATAATACATAAATGTGAACCTATGTGACTAATTATAGCTGCATTCCAATTAAAATTATGCTTTCGTTCAAATACTTAAGAATGATAATAAATTTTGATCTGAAATAATCAAAATATTAAAAATAAAATGAGAAGCTTAAGTGCTTTATTTTACACAAGTTGGTTTCTTGATAAATCTATTATAAGACAAATAAACATGGCACTGTGTAATTTAATTCTATAATAACATATTGAGAGGCTCAAACAGAACAGATATTAATGCATTGCATATTACCTAAACATTTTTTATATAAGCATCACAATTCTTGTCATTAAAATACCTATCAGGGGAATTATTCAAATATACTAATATATTATCTATTTATAAAATTTACATCCGACAAATTTGAATAAAATCCATACAAAACTGCATATTAAATGCTACAAAAATAATAGACAGAACAATAAGTACAAAGAGTACCAAAAATTATTTTTGACTACGAGAAGTTAGCCACATGAAAATCGCGGACCAACCAGGTCGTTATCATATCCCGCACCACGCCGTGGTAAAACGCAACGGTGATAAAATAAAATTACGCGTGGTTTTTGATGCGTCCCCCGTGTCGACGTCCGGCAAATCATTGAACGACTCGTTGCACATCGGACCAAAACTACAAACAGATTTAGTAAATTTGTTATTTAATTGTCGTTTTAATAAATATATTTTCATGTCTGGCATATGTAAAATATATAGACAAATATAAAGTTTTATGCTCATGACTGCAAATATCAGCATATTGTTGGCGCGATTCCCCGTCTGAGGTTATGATTATGAGTTGATCACCATAATCTACGGCGTTACTTCGTCACCATTTCACAAACACTGTTTCAACCCTTTATTATTACATTTATTATTACCGTTTTATATTAACGGAAATTTTTTTTTTTCGCTCTACAATTATTATTCGTACTACGTGTCGCGCACGATGAATCGTTTTTTTATTAAGAAACGTAAATTAAGCGAAGAATTGCCAGGTCTAAATAATGCTCATAGAGTTGATGTTGAGGAATTGCCTAGTCTGAGTTTCAATCCTCCTAATGTTGAGGTAAGTGCGAGTAAAAATGCTAATGTACGATGAAAAAATATTATTTGACAGTATGACGAAAGCTATTTATCATTTGGTTTCACATGAAGTGGTGGAGAAATGTCTATGCCTCAATGCCTTATGTGTAGTGAAAAATTATCTAATGAAAGTATGGTAGCAAATATGCTGAAAAGGCACCTGTTTACAAAACATGGTTTTGCATCTGAAAAGCCTTTTGATTTTTTCAAAAGGTTAGCCTCAGATCAAAAGAGTCAGGCTTCAAAGTTTATAAAACAGTCAACTGTATCAGATTAAGCATAGGAAGCTAGCTATGCCGTGGAACTGATAGCAAAAAAAAAAAAAATGAAATCTCACACAACAGCCGAGTCAACCATTTTATCAGAATGCTGTGAATGAAATTGTTAAAATTTTGTTTGGTGAAGATTTTAAAAAAGGAGTTAGAAAAATTCCGCTAACTAATAACACTGCCCAAAGGCGTATTGAAGACATGTCTAAAGATGTTGAATTCCATGTGAATGAAGAACTTAAAGCGGCTGAATTGTTTTCCCTTCAATTAGATGAGTCTATATATATATCTTAAAATAAAGCTTATTTAATATATTTTAATATGGAAAAAAGATATTGGACTTTATTTTGTTTTCATGGTGAAAAGTTATAAAAAAATACGATTTTTGTAAAAAAGAATATTTATATTTTTAACTTTATAATCCTATAACTTTTTGAATAATGTATGGATCAATCAAATTTTTTAATGATATTTACTATTTATATACTTCTTCTATTCGATATACATTATTGTACTTTTTTTTTAATCGGACCATTACCCTGTATACAGGAGGGTTCAAAACTTAAAAATGCGTATGAAAAGTAGAACTTCTTCAACTTATTAGGTCATACATAACCTAATAATCAAACATAACCTAATAATCAAACATAAATATTTGCTATATTAATTAGAAGGAATTTGTTATTATTTAGGTCATACGTGAAACTCTAATTGTAGATTTGAAATCGACGCAAAAGGTTTTAGAAAAGTATATTTTGGTCTCTGATGAAAATTCCTTGTAGACCAGTAAATTTATTTATAAAAAACAATTTTTTTTTTTTTAGTAATGCTACTAAAAGACTTTCAACTTTTATATGTTTGCCATAAAAGTAATAACTAATCTATAATTTTTTATAAATTCTCCGTAAGAATTACAATATTATATTATTAAATATCAATTTCATGCTAATCAAATTTTTTTTATATCAATTTTATACTGTAAAATATATTTATGCGAGTTTCAGCATTAACCTATTATTTTCGTTATAGAATTATTGATATCAGGTAATTGGGTCAAGTTCTCTTCAATGCTATTCACACTACTAATTATAACTACGGGTATAATTATACTATTATAATTATTCGACGATCATTTACCTAATTCAAGACCGGCTGCTGATAATATTTCGATAAGACCGTCACGTAATTCGGCAGTTGCCGCCTGCGACACACACCACTTAAAAATCATCGACATAAAAATCGCGACCGATAGCGGTGGGTTTTGTTGAGTTATCATGACAATATACGAAGTAGGTACCGTTCCATAAGAAAAAGTATTTAAACGATATATGCTTATATACTACACGTAATGTTGTAGTAATACTCTTTTCATTAAGCACACCACGTTGGGATAAAAAACAAATTTTTACAACTATCTGTTGATTCGGCACCTACTCTTTTCATGTGATTCAATTCTCGCATTCCCTCATAAATTTAATATATTGTTGCTTTAGTTTTAGATTATTTACGAAACTTTCTTTCCATTGACAGTAATCTTTTTGCAATTTCATAAAATTTACCCAACGGGTTTACATTTTCTTTGAATAAAAAGTACACAATAAAACGTCCCGTGACTAGGGAATTATCGTTTCTTCGAATATTTTTTTACACGCATTTTCTTTGGCCGCTTACGGAACCATAAGACTACATTCTTCAATGAATCAGAACTGTTGCATTAAATACTCCACTATCTATTGAATCCTCTATAAAAACAGTACATGACATCGGTATACTAGATAGGCATATTTTTGTGATCTCCGATTTTCTTTATAGGCAAATACCCCGTTATCTTTAACATCGCCAATATTCGAGAGAATAGCTGAAAGTCGCTATTATGCGATTTTTTTAATTAATAATTTAACCGTTGAAAAAATACATTGTGTCATCTGTTCTATACCACAAACAATAAGATTAGTTTTTTGCCCTTTTAACTGTTAACTATTAACAAAACCTACAGTTAGTTGGATACATTTGCGGTTGTCGAAGTAGTAGACTCACTCGAATTATGTTGTGTTTGGATTTCAGGCCAATTTGATCCTACATCCTTTTTTAAATATAACAATGTATTATGAAGATTATTACATTTTAAACAATATCTACCCAAACATTTAATTTTGCCGTGTTTCCGTAAACAAACCATACACAGAGCTATTATATTTACTTTAGATATACGCTCGTCTACCGATAACGTAATAAAAGATGGATACTTTTATATAGTATGCGGCTGATTACAAACATGACACTTAATTTTATTACTGCATTGCGATGATTCTATTGATTCCGTTATTTGAAAACATTCGCCTAAAAATATTGTTAATTCTTTGACAGTTGATACTTTGATGATTTTATCTTCCACGACTTCAACGTTTATCCATTCAGCTTTGAACTCACCATGTGTAACAGTAAAAAACCCCATCTCCTAGATTTTTCATCTAAGGTTTCTAGAGCCTTCATACTACTATTTAAGTCGTCGAATTATGTACTACTTTTATCGCACGAATATGGACGAATCGTATGAAACGGATCAATTTGTGGTAGTGCGCCCACTGTATCCAGAGCAATCAGATTGCCGATGCGACATTTGCATTTTTGTTGTGAGTGGACGATCGAAAACAGTACAGTGTGCAAGACAACATGGAAAGTGATGAAGAACTTGTCGTTATTGCTGTGTGGTTAAATGAAGAAGAAAGAAGAGGACATAAGAGAAAATATAGAACCATAGGATCACGCTGAATACTATTTAGTTGTTCTTTTCTTGATAAATATCCATGAAGGGCGTTAGCTGAAGTGGGTTGTTGTGATGTAACAAACTTCGATTTTCTACCAACATTTCGTGATGATAACATGGACGATTTTGGTTGTGACTCTTGTGTATCACTTGATACATTTACTGTATCACTTAGATTACATGATGTTTCAAGCTCTTCTTGATCACCGTTACTATCATCACCAATTGTGATAGGTGGCGATAGGTTTGAAAGTCGCTCTTCCTCGTCATTCAAATACGGAGTGAGGAAAGTGAGCTCTTTATAGTATTTGGGAGGCTTTAGTTTTGATCCATTGCTCCTTGCATGCATTACCTGTAAAAATTAATAAAAATATTAAAAATACATAGGTACAATTTCTATAAGCATATAAAGTTCGAATTTCGATAAAATTTATCAATATTTCGAAAATTAATAAATATTAATTATAATTATAATTATAAAATTATAAAATGTTCAGTTTTTATAACTAAGGATTCGCGTATGTTTAGGCTATTTATTTATAGGTATGTAACGTGACAAAAGTATCTATTTATTTTTTTGTCTATTTGTATATATATATATATATATATATATATATATTTGTGTTGAGCTGAATGCGGACTGCGACAGCGTTTGTCAGTAAAATTATCATGATAAGGTGTTGTGATTTGTTTATGCGCGTGCGAGATAGTCAGCTGTGTACTACTTCAGACCGGTTCATGGACGGCATTTGTGTGTACATTCACTCCGCTCCTTTCCTATCTTGAACGTCATTTGCACTGCTCACCATATTATCGCCATATGATTTAAATTGTTCTTAGTAATTTCCGGCACTGGGTATTAAGTTTTTATTTGACCCCTACTCTAAAGGCTAGCCGTGTTGTCGCCGGGTCAAAGGTCGGACGGGTTGTCGGAAATTAGCCATCGTCGGAACTGGTACGCTAATATTCGTCCGTAGCGGTGTGTTTATTTTTGTTGTGTGCGTTGCAACAGATTGTTTTTTTATATTTCTATTTTTTTTATCGTGAGTGGCTGCTAAATTTGTATTATGTAAATTTTTGTTTAATGGCGTCAGTTGAGCCTGCCTCCTATTCTTGAGCCCTTCGGATCTGGTAATGTATAATTTATTATTTATGTTTTGAGCCATACCTATTTTTATTTTTTTTTAGGTGCCCTTATTTTTTTATTTAGGTCCCACAATATGACAATCGTGTGACAAGACAACCTGTCATGTTATATCTATATTTTTTGTGATTTTTTTTATAGGTTTTATATTCTATTTTATTGGGTGATGAATAGGTTATTAATACAATGTGGTGACGTAGTGCATTTTATTCCGGGGTGTCCCAACGTCTTGCAAGCTAAGTCTAACTGCCTAAAACCAGTCGCTTACTTGGGACGTATACCCGCCGTACTTAGCGGCAATGCCGCGATTAAAAGCCGGTGGGTACCCGAAGGCGTTCATCGTATTCTCTAATAATAAAAATGTAGGTGTAACTGGTATTTTTTTTATTAATATCTGTTTTTTTTCTCTCTCTCTCTTTCTTTGTCCCCTTTAATTTGTAGACGAGGTTTTTTGACCATTCGGTTTTTTTGCCTCGTGTTAACTTAATTTTTTTGTTTTTTTTTTTTACTTTATAAAGTCCCCTTAATTTAACTTAACTATCATATTTTTCTTTTTTTTTTGCGTGTTCCATCTACAATCGACTCGTGTATTTTTTTCCTTTCAAAAATCATCTCCCCTTAGTTTATACGGTACGGGCAACGGCCTTGTATAAGGTCATCCCCATTGATATGGTTATGTGACAACTGTCACGAGGTTTTGGTGTACATCTACTATCAACGACTCAACGGACATCAACTTTAGTAATTATTAATTTTATATTTTTGTTTAATTGTTTTAATATATAAAAGTTAATTTTCTTTAAAATCCTACAGTGGTCCAACAATACATTGTCTCGCCCAGTAGGTTGGCGACCCTTTTCTTGTAATTTTTTAATGCGCCATGAAAGTTACAAATTTTTTCGTTGCGGCCAATTAGTTTGATTTTTTTTATATTTGTAACCTTTCAGGTATTTGAGTATTTAGAATAAAATTAACCTGTTTTTAGTTGTTATTACTTTTGTTTCAGGTTTTTGACCACTGGAAACTCTTTTAGATCAATTTCATTTTCCTTTAGGCTAGGTGAACGCACAGTACGAAGAATCGTTTACTCAACCTGCGAAGCCATATCCCAGTTTCTGCAGCCCCTAGTTATGCCTAAACCATTTGAAGAAGTATGGAGAGAATCAGAAGGTTTTCGTGAAAAATGGAATTTTCCTAACGCGATTGCTGCCATTGATGGAAAACACGTATTGATTTAGGCACCACCGTACAGTGGATCAAATTATTTTTGTTATAAAAAACACTTTAGTACGGTGATATTAGCCTAGGTGGATGCAAATTATAAATTCATAGTCGTTGATATTGGGGCTTTTGGTAAAAACTCTTTGCGAAATTCTAATTTGGTTAAAGGCTTACAGAATGTAACACTAAATATACCTTCACAAAAATACTACCAGGTTGTGACAGGCAGTGACGTATTACCGCACGTCATAATTGGTGATGAAGTTTTCCCATTATGTTTGAATTTGATGCAACCATACTCACGCGAAGATGCACTAAGAAACGAAGAAAAAAAAGTGTTTAACTATCGGTTGAGTCGTGCTAGAAATACTGTGGAAAATACGTTTGGAATATTGCCACGGAAATTTAGAATTTTTGAACGTAAAATGTCTATGTCTCAAGAACTCATTGTGAGTGTTGTAATGGTTACATGCTGCTTGCACAACTTTCTAAGAAATGACGCGTGTCATTGGACAGAAAATGATTTGAATATTTCTATTTCCAATATGAGAAGACTGCAAGACTTAAAAAATATAGGTGAAAATTCAAAAACAGATGCTTTAGCAGTTAGGGATCGTTTCAAAAGTTATTTCAACTCAGCAGCAGGGTCAGTAGAATGGCAATTAAGTAGAGTTTGAGCTGGAAGGAGGTTCACGTGACTCTAGCACTGTATGACTATACAGTAATTAACTAAACATTTTGTACCTAAATAGCTTTATTGGCTAACTAATTATATTGAAATATGAATAAACTTACCAGTTTGATTTAATATTTTTCCAATTTCATCCCAAATATTATCTCGTCTTTGTTGATTCGATTAATGAGGGTGTTTTAAATTATACAACTCTTCGAACTCTTGTACAATTGTTATTAGTCTTGCGATATCCATGATATGTGTACTTATAATAATTATAATTAAAATAATAAATATTTTATAATTAAAACACGTGTGTACTGAGTGTCGAAATGCAACAAAATTCAAATGATCAGTGAAGTGACCAGTGACCACCGGTTGTGACACGCGTCCACTTATCAGCAATCCGTATAGCGTCATCCGCACCAATCGGAAAAGTTGCCCTTTCGATAAATTTCGTCAGCATTACCGACGGACCGATACGTACGATCTGTCCGCTGCAGGACAATGGACGCATATGTATAACTTACTATATTAATAATTCTACAATCCGTTTCATACGATTCGTCCGATGCGTACTTATGGGCGCGTACCTTAAATGTGTACAAATGACAAATTTACTATTCCGACTGTGTATAAGTACGGTCTAATATACTACTAATAATAAATACTATTACAGTTTTTATTTTATGAAAACCAATCAATTTATTTTATAAAAAATTGTATTTAATTATAAATGTTTCCTACCTTTATTATTGCAATTAATAATTAAATGTTTTCTTAGGTTTTCAAATGAAAAAGTTCTCCTATTATTTGACAGTATTGTTTTATAAGCTGAGAATGTGCATTCGACAATTACCGATGTAATAAGAGCATACTTAAAGTAAACTATATTGTCACTGGAATAGACTTCAGGAATAACCCCCAACGAGTATATAAAAATATTATTGGAAAGCTTATTTAACGGAATACTGGCAGAAACGATAGCTTATTATAAAATTTAGCTAAATTTAATTTCGCTGTATTTTAATTGATTAAACGTGTTTAAGCTTTATTTTGCGCATATTTTTCGTATCGCTCGACATTTGTAATGTGTTTATCAGTTCTTAGGTGTTGATATATATTATACTTCTTTCCAAACTTTATCTTTATCTCACACATTTTACAATATACGAAATACCCGTCTGTGGACAAAATTTCAGACCCGAATCCTAAAACTTATTTTTTTAAAAGTACACTAGCTGATACCTATTCTTTTCCCATTCAACACACGACCACATCAACTAGTCATTAGTTAATACATCATTATCAATCGATTATCCCTATTGTGGTTATCAAATTACGATTATTTTAATAATCGTTTAATTTTAAGAAATTCGTAGATTATTTCAAAAACAACAATATCTCTTATTCCCTTAATTTTATCCCGATTAGTTATTTGATTTATAATTATTATATTTTCTTGTAACTTTTGGTATTTAAAAAGATTCTTAAATTAAAATATGAACTGAATTAATTTTAATGATTTATTTTAACTAAAATAAAACTCAGTACAGGGGGGTCGCGGTACAGTGATGACGTGCATTGTTGGATCCAGTATAATGATATCTGACCGTGATTAAATCACTATTAAAAAAAAAGCCTTGGATGCAAATCTTTAGATAGTGTTTAATTAAAAAAAAATGGTGGATTATTCTAAAAGCTACATGATCTACTATTTCCTTATTAATATCCTGATTGAGATAAAGTATGTCGAATGAAAAAGGGATATAAATATTATTTCTCATAAAAAAATTGTGTTAATCCATACACTTATTAATAAGTTATATAAGTCCGAAAATTTTTTTTTGCCATAAAAAGAACATTACATAAAAAATTTAAATATATTTAAGATATATATAAGTGTCAGACTTTCCGTAACACTTTCAAAAGTTCTACTTTTAATATGCATTTTTTTTATTTGAACCCCTCCCTGTATATATGGAAATGCTCCGATTTAAAAAAAAAATATGTCGAATGAAAATATTGTATTGATCTAGCCAGGATAAAACCGCGTTGCTAGATGTTTGCTTATTCAATGTTACTACTTACGTGAAGCCTTGGCTTAAATGCGTTCTTGCAGTAAAATCACCTCATCAAGACTTGTGTTTTTTAAAGTCATTAAAATCTTATGAAACCATTGACATAAGTATTTCGAAAGTGGCACTGCAAAAATTTAGTCAGCATTTGTGGTACTTACAATCTTAGCACTATTTGACGATAAAATTGAACCAGATATGAAACGATTTATGGTAAAAAATTTAACAAAAAAAAGTGAATGTACATTTGGAAAACGATACAAACCGACAAAGGAAGAACTTGGCGGTTTGTTATACGGTTAGTATGAAAGATAAACGTGTATATTTTAATATGATTTGATATTTAATGATAACTGTAAATTATTTTATTTTAGACAAAAATATCTGTGATTTTGTGTCAGCCAAAAGTAAGTTCTTATTTACCCGTTTAAAAATTGATGATAGTTTTCTGAACGAATGTCCATTATCATGGGTGACAAATAATGCCTCATATATAGTAGCCCATAAAACTGTATCAACACTGAAAGCTGTAAATGATACTGCTGAAAGGACTGTTAAGTTGATGCAAAATTTTCATGGTTTGATTACAGTCGAAGAGAAGCAAAAACAATTTTTGTTGCGTTGTGTGCAAGAACATAGAAAATTATACCCAAATTCGAACAAAGAAACTCTCAAGAGAAAATATCCCCAATAATAATTTTTTATAAGTACCAGCATTGTAATTATAATTTCTTTAACATTAAAATAAACATGATAAAATTATCATTTCTAGTTGGTATTTTTTAAATTTGTTGTGTATTAGCATAAACAGAATTTGACTACAAAAAATTTTACCTATAATACTCATATATTTTGTAAAATTAAATATTAATCATGTTAAAACAATAAAACGATCGGCCCAATGAAAATTTTACTCATTAATTTTTGTTTAAAAAATTTAAATTTGACACAATTTTTATATGAAATATTACTTCTTATTATAAACGATTCATCAAATATGATGCGATATTCGTAAATATCCCAATTTCGACAGTTTTGCAAAATAATACTTATGTTTCAATTTTTCTAGAAAACTATTGGGTTTAGAAGAAAAATTATAGAACTTAAGTTATACACAACATTTATATCTACAATTTATTTCCTATTTAATTTTTTGTGAGAGCACTAATTAACGAGTCAATGGCAAATAACTGAAAAACTGCCCCTTTTAATTAATTTTCAACCCCAAGTCGGCACGGGTTAAACTTGTTTGATCGACCTGAAATTTTTTTGTGTTCTTTTTCATATGTATACAAATAAATTTGAGGGGTATGCACTAAGCATTTCCGAAACTTCAAAATTCTGGGACACCCTAATATATATATATATATATACATATATTTTTTTATATATTATTAGAATATATAAATATCATTATTTAAATATTATTATTCTAATAATATTGTTTAATATTATTGGTTTACTTATTTTTTTTTAAATCCACTTATGGTCCGGGTGTTGTTTTTTTTATGATCAAGACCGTCGCCTAAGTGGTTGGCGACCCGATTCTCCTTTTGCAAGGGAGCCATGAGGGTGTTGACTCCACAATCCGTTGCGTGGCCCCAGTCGTCACCTCTCACACTTTCAAAAGTTAAATTGATTCATGCAAGTTAAAGCAACATGATGTTAAAAAATGTAAAATACAATATCAAGAATATTTTTTTTATTAATTTTGATTTCCGTTTTCACCATTAAAACAAAATAAAGTCCAAAATTTTTTCTCCATAATAAAGTATATTACATAAGTTTTAATTTAAGGTATATATAAAAGTGTCAGTCTCCCGGAACATTTTTAAAAGTTAAGTTGAAAAAGTGAATTTTTTGTGAAAAAGTTACCATTTTGAAAGCCTTCCTGGGGCATGTAAAGGGTCAAATATTCGTCAAAATATATCTAAAATTAGGTAAATACCTAATGTATCTATGAAAAGAAAAAAAATTATTTGAATATTTTTTAAAAAAGATATAGTTTTTTTTTAATAAAAAAAATTGAAAAAATGTCGAAAATTTGTGATTTTTGGGGGATTTACCCCGTTTACGGGGAACGACAGAATTTTTTTCAATTTTTTAGTGAAATGTCTTCAACTAGATACGATTTGTGATCTTTTGACGTATTGTTCATCGAAATCGGTCTAGCGAGAGCTGAGATTGAGAGTTCATAGACACAAAAAATAAAAACAAATCATAGTAAAATTAATACCTTCTTAGCTGCGCATCTAAGCTAAAAAAACTGGGTTGCTATTTGAAAAACTTAAGTTGATATTGATTTAAGGGATGAAGATGGAATCTTTAATTTGTGTCAAATAGTTCAACGAAGATTTATAACAAATAAAATAATTACATATATGATAGTACTAATATTTCGGATAAAAGGTTAAACAAATCTAAATCAAAATAATTTGATTTTATAGTTGACACCTATTATCATATCAAACTTAATTCGACCTTAAATACTTTATTAGATATGAATGATTATAATTGTTTGTATGTAGAAAGATGTTACTATATTATCTCTTGTATATGAAACTTCATATATGACAGACGGGATTTTTTTTCAATGTTAAAAGAAAAAATATTTAACTAAATAATAGTTATAATTTGAGATGGAGGGATGCTATTAAATGCGATATGAGGATACCTGATGTGGGAGATTGTGTCAAGTGGAAGTTTAGGATTAAAATGGCCGACCTCAAGTAGTTGGGATTAAGGCGAGAAAAAAAAAATATTTACTGTAAATTTATCTGAAAAGCTCAATATTTTTTTTTCATATTTATTGTAATAGATTACTTTAATAATTCACTCGCACCGGTGGGTGTGTACCTCGTACCCCAAGCATTAAAGACAAAAGTGTTACTGACTTGACAATTGTACATGGCATTCAAACACCAAA